TCAGCTCACTGATTCTGAGGATATCAATCTTTATGTGTTCCATTTCATTTTTGACAACTTCCAATTTTCCTAGATTCATACTTCGTACGTTCCATGTTCCGATGATTAATGGATGTCTGCAGCTGTTTCTCTTCAATTTGAGTGGTGCCACATCAGCAAATGGAGGTCATGAAAGTTTTACATTATCCATAGGAGTAAGGCTGGGTTAACTTTGATGATGCAGCTCTTTCCCAGTCCTATTTTGAGAGCCTTCTAATCTAACCAGACTATTCATAAAGTTGCGCGGTACTGTATCAAACAGTGTTTCTTTGCTATTCATAAGGTTTTCCCTTGCCAGTTCTTTGAGAAGTGGATGGTCGCTTCCTTTTTCCTAGTCTATCTCAGTCTGTAAGCTGGGCACCGTGTGCATCCCACTGGGTTTGAAACACCAGTGGCTCAGCCTCAAAACTCATATCACCACGTCACCACAGTAGGACAAACTGACAGACAAGTTTGTCTCCCTGTTGGAAACCTCTCATACCACCCTTACCTGAGTCCCTCCAGAGTTCACATATCATTTTTAAATCATTGCTACAGACTTAGAGTCACAAAGAAGGAAGCATCTTTTAAAATTACTGTTAGCTTAAATGTAACACTAGAATGTTGGAACATTTTTCATCTTTCTTTCTGGGATCTTTCCACAGGAACTTACCAGGTGCCCTTAAGAAGGCACAACATCCAAAGAGAGAGACTGCCATTGACAAAGATAGCAGTGAAGGAGAAGACGATGAAAGTGAAGATGACTGGGAGGAGGTAGAAGGTAAAATAACTTTCTTGGCTTTCAAAACTAATTCTATTTGTTTTCTGTTTGATTTTGTATAGAGTTTTATCAGTTACTGCAATCCTGTTACTTTCTTTTGAAACTAATAAAAAAAGGTAAGGTTCCACTTAGGACTTAGTTTTTGAGAAATTCATGACCAGGTTAGCAAAGAACCTTGTCTACAATTCTCTTCCTCTAGTAACTGTCAATGGAGTGGGTAGAAATAGAGAGGTGCCGTAATCTAGTAGAGAGAGAAAGGATTTAAAGTTAGTCGGACCTAGGTGCAAAAACCCAGCTATGTGACCTGGAGTGAGTTACTTACTCTCTTTGAGCTTAACTTTTTTTCACTGGTTACATTCAGTAAACATTGAATGGCTGCTATGTGCTATGCATTTTTATGACAATATCAATTACAACTTTTTCTCCTCTTTTTTTCCCAGTCTAACAAGGAGTAAACCTTACATTTGGTTATGTCTCTTTAGTCTCTTTTAATTTAGAATAGTATTTTCTGCATGCTCACTCATATTTTTTTTCCTTTTTGTGACATTGCCTTTTTTGAAGAGTCCCAATCTCTTGTTTCATAGAATGTCTCCTGTTCTGGTTTCATCTGATTATTTTCTCGTGTTACTGTTAAACTTCTTTAAGTATCCTCAGTGTATCATCTTCTAAACTTTAAGTCCAAAAACCTAATTAGATATAGACTAAACATTTTTCTGAATACTTACAGTGATGCTTTGTACTTCACATCCATGAAGAGGCACCTAATGTAAGATTGAAAGGAGCTCTTGTGGTATAGTGGTTAAAACATTCAGCTGCTAACCAAAAGGTGGGCAATTCAAACCCACTAGCCTCACCATGGAAGAAAGATGAAGCAGTCTGCTTCCATAAAGAGGCTTGGAAACTATGTGGGGCAAGCAATTCCATTCTGTCCTACAGGGTCGCTGTAAGTCAGAATTGATTTAGTGGCATTGGGTTTGGTTTTGGTTTTGAATGTCATGTTGTCCTTCTATTAGTGATGCTAAGTTTGATCACTTGATTAAGGTGATGCCTCCAGATTGCTCTCTTGTGAAGGCACATTTTTCCCTTTGTAATTAATCATCTGTGGAATGATATGTTGAGTCTAAATATCTTGTTTCCCAGTAACTTTTTTACTTAATGGTTTTAGCATACATTGATGACCTTAACTAAAACAAAGATTACTATTATATTGTTATTGTTGTTTTTGTTATGTGCTGTTGAGTCGGCCCCGACTCATAGCAACCCCTCCTTGGGTTTCCGAGGCAGTATCACTACGTAAGTAGGATTGCCCAACCTTCCTTC